GTTCTAGATGATAGTAATTTAGGACGATATATTTGAATTCAAATCCAAATTCAAAGCTGAATTTGAGGGCACAACTTTCGCCTTGCATGCAACCTGCGTAAGACATCCTTGAACATGACTACAACTGTCGTAGGGCTATTAAGCAATTGCTCTAAATCTCTTCAACAGTTGTAGTCTCTACAACAGTTTTAGGTATGTTGTATGGATGACTTTCAGGCGCAGATTTCATACGATGGCGAGTCCTCGATCCTCGGTCCATGTGTTCCTTGTTTTGTCTACAACACTGCACTTCTCGTGAAGTAGCTTCGTTCCGATTATTTTTTCTCCCTTCTGAGCAGAAATCAACATGGGAGTGGCGTAATAAAACAGCCAGTGCAGTTCTAAGTGAGCAATTCTATACAGTCTATCGTTACTCGATCTCGATAGACATTCAAGATAAATTCTCGATAAATTTACGGTATCTCCTGAAATTCCTTTTTCGGAAAAACGCTCGTCATATTTTAGTGTGGCTATCCCACGAATGTGTGGATATTTTTAAGTGATTTGAGTGTATTTGTAGACGTTGAATTTCTGTCTTCTTCTACCTCGCGTATTACAGTCTCGCCGACTATTCTCGGTTTGCACATGACAGTCTAAAAAAATTCTAAAACCACAGACACACAACATTAAAGTACTAAAATACCTTGAAGAGCATGATAGAAGTTCTCTCTGAAAGTTTCACCTTTTTTGCTGTTTATTCGTTGAGTTATTAATTAACGTTCAAAAATATGCCACGCAATCAGTCAAGCTACTCTTGAAACACGCCAAATTAACCTCGGAAAGCCTATAAATCTATAAGCCTATAAATTTAATTTTTAGAATGATATTGTTAGAATACTGAAGCAAAATCATTAGTTTTGAGCTCATTTCGACACTCGGAGTTACTGTCCGCGTGGTTGTGTACTGGATACTGCACCATCAGGGCTTTCCGATACATTCGTAAAGTAAGACCATATTCAAACGCTTATATTTTTGCTAAAAAATCGCAGTTTGACTTCAAACTTTGCACAACTGTTGGGAATTATATGCTGTTTTTGGCCATGAACATGAAAAATTCATTTAGATCTTAAAACACAGCCTTTTTTAGGTATTTCTTGACCTGTCTAAAACGCATTGAGCCGTGATACATTCTTACCAATTTTCGTTTGCTCGTATTTCTGTTAAAAAAAGCATTATTTTGGCTCAAAATTTCGCAATAATACTTTAATTTAGATGTTCTATCGAGGACAATAATAATATTTCGCTAATT